TTAAGGAGAGTTGTAGGTTCTTCTGGGGCTGTGACAAGTAAATTGTGTAAATAAAACTAAACAAACTACAATTGACTGAAATAATGGGACACAGAGTGATGAAAGCACAGGGTGTACAGTAAAATTTTGAATAAGCCAAACTTCAAGAAAGTTTAAAGCAGATTTGTATGGTAGTGTTTTACTGAAGGGAACGATTTCTTATCGAACTTTCACTGCACTTGTACACAATAAGCCAAACATATCTTTGTACTTGGGTAAATCTACATGTACAGGGTGTGCTTGGTTTAAAATTTTATGGTCTAATCATTGATTGTATGAAAAATAATGCAACCAAATGTTCAAAGGCAGAGCAACAACATAAGGGAAATGTATGCACAAGAAAAAACCATTTGGCATTATAGATAATTGCTCGAGTTGAATAAAACTACATGAGTACATGTACATTTTAAATAGTATCAATAAAACCAGAGTCACTCCAAGTTGTCTTCTGATAAATGTAGTGTACTGGCTATACCCTTGGCATGTTCTTAACCTGTTTTTTCGGCACTTGGCATTAATACTTTCACGAATATTGCGAAGCTGGGGGCCTGAGATGCTTCCAGGAAAAACCTTCACCTGTTCCAGTATTGCTTTAAACCGGCTCTCACTAGTGAGCGCTACCTTGATTGTAGCCCCATCCTTTGCAGAAACAATTCTGCCACTGAACGATGGCTCAGCAAGTTCTTCATTTGTGTAGAACACCCCCAACAATTTCAGGGCGAGAGTCTGAGCATTCGCAGACCTCTGGAAAGCGTCCATATACACCCCTTTGGACATGGCAAGGGTGTCGCTCCCGTGCCCAATATCGACTGTATTAGAGCACTGATTTAATCTTATATTCTTGTCGATGGACTGTATCAGTGTCTCCTTCGATAAAAGATGGCCCCTGCTCAAGATCAATGGAAGACTGTTGCGAATGATGAGCTGCAAGGGTTTTGATCACCTGGGCAAGGGCTGCAAAGTTCATGTCAGCGGATTTCCTGAGATGCTGCCACCTCTTTCTCGATGGACTCTAGCCGGGCCAAGAGTTGCCTCTGCAGCGAAATGACTTCACACAGCACGTCATCACACGCCAAAGTGTGAAAAGATGATGGTACTTTCCCATTCAGTGACACTTCGTCTCTGGTGACTTGTAATAATTCCTGGTTGGAGTATGTAAACTCATGCCTTTTTTGTGTCCAAAAATTTGGATTATGGACGGACATAAGAACGAGACCAATCATTTAGTTTATTTGTCGGTTGACTGGTGGTGCTTTCCTCCCTTCGTATGGGACTCATCAGTTGCAATATGGGTGATTCCGGAAGCGGAATTGTACGAACTCACATGTGATTCATGAATGAAATTTGTGGGTCAAAAATGGGCAAATGCCTGTGTAATAGTAGGGAATTAGAGCAGCCATTTTATTCAGTTTCAGTTTGTTCGGCAAGTAGGGAGAGCAGTATATTCAGTGTTTCGTCCTCTTCTTCTGGTTGTTTGTAAAAGCCCGAGTCAGTTGGGATTGGATTGGGCTTTGTTGTGTTAGATGGTAGTTTGGCTCTCACTAGTCTTTCTCTGATGTTTTGGGCTTTTTTGAAAGCAATGAATGGGGGTTACAGAGAGATTTCCGAGAGTAATCCATTGCTTTGAATGAGGTGCCAATGGTTGTTTAAAGCTCGAAGAAGATCACGGTGGGTAATGGCTGGGTTGTAGGTGGTAACGAAGACTTGTCCAAACAGTACTTGTACAAAATCCACTCAAGTTGTGGAGGCGTCCACCTCTTATCAAAAGAAGGATGACGGTGGTTCTCCAGCCTTTTTGGCCGATAGATTGTGTCAGATAGTACTTTGGAGCCAAGATGCCATCTTCAATGCTGCACTTCAATGTTGCGTTTTCTATCAAATCTACTCATCACTCCACTTGTAACTTTGGTCACAAACTCATGAATTGCAACGATATAGTCTTCCCACAGTGTTGTTTCGTTTTATTTTGAAATGCTCCATATGAACTTACATCTGCACAAGATACTCACTGGTCTTTAATCGACTAAAAGTACCGAATCTAGGCACGGATTGCTTGCACACCTCTTAGCAGGCAGGGATTGCTTGCACACTTCTTGGCAGGCTGAGATTGCCTGCACACCTCTTGGCAGGCAGGGATTACCTGCACACCTCTTGGCAGGCAGGG